GGCACTCTCACAGATCCCTGAACCTGGATCTGGACCTCAAACCTTTAAAGTTCTCTCCCTGACTGAGGCGCAGCCGTCTTACATCACACAGCTACAGGCTTTGCCATAGGAGTCGTCAGCTTAAGCTGAGGGTGATGTGTCATCTGTGATAATTGTGGGACATCTGTGCAACTCTGTCAGACAAGTCCTACAAAAGCTCTGCAGGGCATCTCCACCTTACAAAAATGTCCCAAAGCTTCAGAAATTCCCTCCCTCCTTACAAAACTGTCCTCACTTCCTCTTTCATTTAAAACTTCCTGATAAAGTTCCCTGTTCTTCCACAGAAGCTTTGTGTTTGTGTTTGTGTGAAGTCTCAGACCTGATTGTGTCTTTACGAGGACCGGACAGATCGTCATCACAGAGCAGAAGCGTCTCAGAAGCGAAGACATGTCCAAACAAAGCCTCAGCTGTCATTTGGACGCCACTGCATCCTCTCCTGGTTTCGCTGTGACTCAGCGTGACTTTCTAAATGCTGTAACTTCACTTACAGTCAGATGATAAAGCTCAGAAGAAATCACCTCCTGTCACCACGAGGATGGGGCCACAGTTTGATTACAGGAATATACAAACAGCACATGGTGAGAGAAGCTCAGCTTCAGTGTTTCACACCGATGTCACGATGTTGGACACGAGGCAGTGAAATCCAACATAAACATGTCGGCTTTGAGGGAAGATTTAATAAACGGAAGCAGCAAAATGTGACGTGTAAACTGATCTACTCTGGTTCCTTTCCTGTGTCTCAAACAGCAAGTCATGTGACCCACCGCCATGCTGCAGTTTATTCCCTCACTGAGACAATTGAGAGCTGTTACACTCCAGCAAGATCACTCAAACGCTGCTCAGTGGGAGTGGTGGCGCAAACGAAGACCCCATGAAGGTTTGGCCTGGTTGGAGGAGGACGGGCTCTCTCTGAGAACACTTCCTGTCAGTGGACTTAGACGGCCACAGCCACAAATTACAGGTTTGCCTCATCACAGCTGTTTAAAGTTTATTAATGCTTAGTTTGCATTATTAGGGGCGTGGCCTCTTTGACTGATAGGTGGATGGTGACACAGGTGGCCGTAGCTGCTAGCCAGGCTTCACCTGACCCTAAACTGGACCTCTGGACCATGTTTGTGCTGTTGGGGCATTTGTAATGACATCATGTGACCAATTATATGTCTACTGTGAGGTCACTGTAATAACAGACTGTCCAAGAAGGCGGAGCTCCAGTTTGGGTGAAATTCTTTGGGACTAATTAGCATCTGTGTCCTGGCGATGCTCTCACACTGCCTGTCGATGCATTTTGCTGATAATGTCACGACTTCTTATAGATAAATGGTAAATGGCCTGTATTTATATAGCGCTTTTATAGTCCCTAAGGACCCCAAAGCACTTTACATATCCAGTCATCCACCCATTCACACACACATTCACACACTGGTGATGGCAGCTACATTGTAGCCACAGCCACCCTGGGGCGCACTGACAGAGGCGAGGCTGCCGGACACTGGCGCCACCGGGCCCTCTGACCACCACCAGTAGGCAACAGGTGAAGTGTCTTGCCCAAGGACACAACGACCGAGACTGTCCAAGCCGGGGCTCGAACTGGCAACCTTCCGATTACAAGGCGAACTCCCAACTCTTGAGCCACGATCGCCCCACGATCATAGAAATGATCAATTCTGTCTCAAAAAGGGCAAAATGATAATGGCGCTACCCTAGTGTAGGTAAAGGTTTCACCTTATGGATCTACTTTGAAAACAACTCAACAACAATTCATTCATAAGACTTTCAAAAATTGTTTTCTATAACTTTATTTAAGGTTTCCGTCCTTCATCATCTTTCCTTTCATGTAGACGTGTTTTTGCTTTCTTTGCAGTTTGCTTGCAGGCCGTCACACTGTTTGTATATTATAAATTGTATGACTGTGTACGTGACAAATAAAAATTTGAATTTGAATTAAATACATAAATATATATTTGTAGTGGAATCTGCCCCAAAGTCCTTCTAGAAACAACTCTCGCCACTTAGCATCTACTCTGAAACAGCCTCTGGCACTTTTTTGGCCAGTTATCTAAATTGTCTTTAATTTTAAGGCTCATTGGGACATAAAAATCAGGACATTTCCTTCGGGATTAATAAAGTATTTCTGATTCTGAAAAAATAAAAAAAATGCTTGAAAACTCTGCTGAACTACAATAAAGATGAACAATATTTTTCCCTCCTTGGAAGAGAAACTTCCCTCCGTCTTTGCTGCTCCTGAATCGTCCTCCGTGTTTTTTTCTCTGAACTTGTGTTCAGATTCAGCGAGTCACTGATGTCACTCCACGTGTGACACGTGTCTCCTTTTCATTAGAAATTCAACCTCACATCAAGACGCTGAAGCTGAGATGTTGACGCTGTGATGTCATGAGTGTTAGGGTTCCAGCACTCTGATTGGCAGATGTAGTTTTCAGGTTTTGGCGTTAATGATGCGTGCGGGAGGACCTGGCGTCCTTCGTTCTCTGTCTCTTCACACCGTCTCTCGTCCTTCATCCATCATCCCTCCATCTCTGCCGTCCTCTCGGGCAGCGGAGGTGAACGTTCCTCCTCCTCCTGTACCGGTATCTCCGCAGGTGTATGGACAGGTGGAGGTGAAACACTGGAGCTCAGCTTCTTGCTGACTTGAGCATAAACTGAATCCCCGTCATAGTTGCTAAAATCCCCCAGAGCGGCGTCATGTGCTCTGGCTGGCTTGTGATTGGCCGGCATTGCTGGTGATGATATGTCGTGATTGGTGCCGTGTCCTCCGATGGCGTGGTAGATGTGCTCAGCGTTTTGATCTGTGAACAGACAGACGACAGTTAGGAACTAATGATCAGATCACGATGATCAATAAAAGTAGTTTCTGTGGTTTCTTCGTTCTCTCCCTTCAGAGAATAAAACCTTGGCTCTGTGGCGCCCCCAGGTGGCTCCTCCAGGGAGTGAACTGCACTGAGACTTCCTCTTCAGGACGTGACCCTGAACACACAAACACAGGCATCATGGGACATTCAGCAATCTGAGTTTCTTCACCGAGTTTCTTAATTTTTAAGTGTTCTCATTAAAAAATAATATCACGAGTTCATGAAAGCGATTCAGCCTGAAGCCAGAAAATCGAGCATGAGAGCAAACTAAAAGCATCTTGTTCTACACGAAAACTCCATTAAATATTCTTACTGAACCTGTTAATGAGCCTCATTTGTGCACATGTGGAATATTTCTTATTTACTTATATTTATTCATGTCATCTGTTTTATTCTTTAGTTTCAGGTACGATGGAGCTGTCGGGACTTTAGAGTCGGGACATCGGGAGCCGGAGAGACAGCGAGAGGTGAGGACATCATCTTTTTATTTATTTATTTTAAAAAGCACATTGATTAAATTCAAGTCGCTGTTGTTTATTTAGCCCCAACAACACTTGCCTCAAAGTGTTTTATATTGCAATGTAAAGACCCAACAATATTACAACTATCAGATGAGCCCCTTTAAGCAAGCACTTGGTGACGGTGGGAAGGAAAAACTCCCTTTTAACAGGAAGAAACCTCCAGCGAATTAGGGTCTGCAGCTGGCTGCTGCTCAACCCTGATTGGACAATTTGATCTACAGCAGCTTGGTGCTTCATGGCGACACGTTGAAATTTGCCACGCCACCAGGGGATCAGTGCAACGTCATACTTCCTGTTTCCTCCTACATTTGGACACTGATGAAATGATTTCTGCAGACCTCACGTTAAATCAGCTCCACTGATAATCACGGAGCATCTCGTCCTTCCTGCTTCTGCGCACGAAAAATGAGACTACAGATGAAACGTGCCTCTCCTTTAAATGCAGAATGCAGAATAAATTTAAAAGATCCTTCAGCTCGAGGTCGAAAGCTTCTTTTTTGTGATTCTTTGTTTTTCCTTTGGAAGAATAAAGTTATGTTAAAGGTGGGAATGCACACAGGAAGTCATTCATATTTTTTTTCTGAAACTATAAAACAGTCTTCCCAGCCTCATCATTCATTTGACCTCATGAATCGTATAATTTAAATGTCTTTAGTTAAAGTCTGCTGTCTGCCTGGTGTTTGATGGGACCTTGCTCAGTCTGTGGCGCCCCCAGGTGGCTCCTCCAGGGAGGGTCCCTAACAGGGTTAACTGACATGTCAGCTCCACAAAGATGTGATATCTTTGTGGAGCTGAATCGGCTCTCGCTGACGGTCAGTAGCTGTTAGCGCAGTAAATTCTGACTTATTTTCCTTGGTGGTCATCGTTTCCAGCACAGGAGGTATTCATTTCACCTCCGATCTTCAGGTTCAGAGCCATTACTCGTCTACCTCTGTGCACTCACGCGTAAATGACATTTTTCTGCAAAGACTTTTATTTTCTGGAGGTGTTGTGAGCTCTTCCTCCACCCTGACTTCATTCCACATGCAGTTTGGTGCTGCTTATATAAAACTGAAGTAAACTCTGTCGCACGAACCTGAAAATGTGATGAAACTACTTCATTAAAACTTCATTTAGTATAGCTGAAAAGTCTGCTCACGTTTCTCGTCGTTCTGGATCTCGTTGATCGTTGGGTTTTCTCTCACTTCCTCCAGCTTCACCTGTCAATCAACACGACAGGTTAACGATGTCTGTGAAGGTTCTCAGTCATCCAGGTCATCGTAGTCCAAGGAGCTTGCAAAGAAAAGCGTCTGGACTTCTTTAAGTTGCTTGAAGACGTTTCATCTCTCATCCGAGAAGCTTCTTCAGTTCTAAGGTCAAATATTGGAGAGTCCCAGATTTAAACCCTGTGGGAGTGTCCCCCCCCAAGAGGGACAAAAGACCCCCTAATGATCCCCTACCTAGAAGAGCCACCTCCACGGGACAAGACTCGGCTGTCCATCTGCATCCAAAGGTCAAAGGTCAACCGTTCGAGGATGCCAATGTTCACATTTTGGACAGAGAAGACAGATGGTTTGAAAGAGGAGTGAAAGAAGCATCTATGTCCACTGTGAATGGCCATCTTTGAAAAGAGGGCGGGGCTTACGACACCAACTCTCTGCCATCTATAATCCAGTTTTGAGATGCTTCCCAGACGCCTGAACGCCCACTCACATCCTGGGCCATCTGACCTCAGGAAATCACATGATAGGGTGGGGCCAGGTTTCACAATGGCTCGTGTGATTAGGTAGAGGACCATTAGGGGGTCCATTGTCCCTCCTGGGGTGGACACTCCCACAGGGCTTAAATCTGGGGCTACGTCCACACTAATGCATATTAGTTTAAAAATGCATCGTTTTCTCTCTGTTTCGGCAAATACAGCGTTTTCAAAACGCTCTCAAAAACGCATAAAATTCAAAATGGTGCTTGGGCTTGGCAGTGTGGACGGCGAAAACAGAGACTTTCTAAAACGATGACGCATGTTAGTCATATGATGCAGTCATGTGACCAATTAAACTAAGATAGCGGAGGGCATTATGCAGCAGTTGTTTTGTTTGACGGCCCTATTAAAGATTAATATCAGTCTGCACATCCTCCAGAGAGCTTTTCTTCAAATTCTTTAATTCTCTCTCGCTTTTGCAACTTTGTACTTTTGTGTTACTCGCAGCAACAACTCCACCTCATTGTTAGTCCATTTTAAAAACTCGCTGCTTTTCCTCGACATTTTGCCACAACGTTTCAAAGAGCCGGAAAGTAAATAAGCGGCAGACAGAAATGAGGCAGGTCGAATCTTCTTGCGTTTCACAAATGCACAGGACTAGAACGTAAGTGTTTTCGGCTGTTTCAATGTGGACGCACAACTCTGTGAAAATGACTGAAAACGCTAGTGTGGACGCGGAGCGTTTTCAGACAAAAACACCGTTTTCAAATCTATCCGGGCCAGTGTGGACGTAGCCTGGGACTCTCCACCATTTGACCCTAGAACTGAAGAAGCTTCTCGGATGAGATGTGAAACGTCTTCAAGCAACTTAAAGAAGTCCAGAAGCTTTCCTTTCTCAAGCTCCTTAGACTACAAGTTAAGCCACGCCCCGTCCCATCAGAGGTTTTAGGTCGTTAAACTCGTCTCTTACCACGCTGATGAGCGTTGACGGGGTTCTGTTCACCTCCAGATCCTGAAGCTCAAACGAATGTCTGAAAAACAACAAACAACAGCGTCAGATCAGGTTTTAATGATTCACTGATCATTTCAGATGTTACTGGATTGTTTAAGATTGACTCTGATAATCACGTTAAACTTTTCATTTTCATTCATTTCATCATTCTGTGATGTAGAAAGACTGCTGACCTGCCGCAGTCGCTGCAGAGACCCGTGAGGAAGATGGAGAGGAGGAGGAGGAGGATGAAGAAGCTAACCACTCCTGATGGCAGGAGCCACAGCTCGATGGCGTCTGGTCCGGTTGCCATGATCCCTGAGAGGAGAGAAAACGCAGATGAGTGAGGACGACCTGGAGACTTTATGACCTCCAAGAAACTCACTTTGCATTTTAGTGTTTTGTAAAGAACTTTAATTAGCATCAGATGTAAATTATCCTCAGTTTCTCTGATCATTAACAGGTCTAACAATCAGCAGAGGTCAAAGGTCAGAAACTTTATTCTGACCTATTCTGAAACATAAATTCCACCTGATCTGTTTTCATATCAAAGGAATGCTTTAAATGCACTCTTCAAACATAACTGAGCAAATATGAGCTCAAATTTACTGATATCATTGTGTGCTGAAGCCCTGAGTCATGAACGCACAAAGCAACACACTCGTGGATCAAACGTGACCCTGTGTGTGCTTTAAAGGCCGGTCCGTCGTCGGGTGTGTACTCGCTCTTTCAGCTCAGCGGCGATTGAATCATCCTGACCAACTCCTGTTACACAAACAGTGAAGCAGATGCCGGAGGTGGGTCGCGGTGCGAGAACGCCATGTTCAGATTAGAAAAAACTGCATTTAGCGCAGTTATTTCACTGTAATAAAGGAAACGAGGCGCAAACAGCCAAGCTAACACGTATCCACCTCACTGATTATCACGCCACATCTCTTCTGTTAAATGTTGCAGTGACAAAACATCCGTTAAATGTTTCAGCAGCTGGGGCTGTTTTTTATTCTGCGCAGGGGGAACTTCCTGTTGTCTCCAATGCCTGTCTCCAGAGCTGCGACTCAAATACGCAGACACATCGTAGTCCATCGAACTTGAGACTGAACTTAAAGTGAAGTAAGGCCACAGAGCAGGCGAACCATGAAGAGATTAGAATAAATGAATGAAAACAGGAAACATCATCACCATGTGCGATGATGATCAGAGCTGTGGTGAAAGGTTTGGGCGGGGCTGCTCTTTTTAAGATTTCTTCTCTTTTCTCAGTTGTTTGGAGACGGAGTTCCACGTATGAAGGAGACGACTGCCTTTCTGTTTATTTTCTTTTTGTTTTTGCAAAGAAAGCGAGCCTATAGTGTCCACAAAAGCGAGCCGCAGTCCCAGCAGGTCACCTGATCTCAAGGTCAGCCCACATCACCTGATGGCTCAGGCAACACCCTTGTCCACATCCTGATGGGTGAGCAATTTAAGCTGCTTTATCCTGCCGGGCCACAGTTTCTGCACATTTGCAAGCCCCTTTGCCTTCCAGCGAAGCCTCCTCTGTTCTGTACGAGGAGGTGGTGCTGTCGCTCCACCCGCTCCATCTTTGTATGCACGAGCACGGTGAGGTCCCAGAAAAATGCCAAACAAGTCAAAAAAGAAAAAAAAGCCACGAAGAGGCGTAAAACAAGTAAAAGAGACATTAAGAGTCCATAAAGAGACCCTAAATAGTTCTGACAAAGTGCAAAACAGCAACATTGTATTGATAAAAGACAATGAAGTCACAACAGTTGGCCTCCTCACAGACACAAACCCCAAATTACAGCCCTTTGTTTCAGCCTGTTCCTCATAGAACAGGGTGGGGTCTGCAGCTGGGGGCCCGCTGCCTCATCATCTGTCTCTGGTTTTCTGGTGTGAATACCAAACGATGCCAGTCTGTCTTTTAACCTGTTTCCTGGTCTTAAAAGTGCTACTATGAGAATATTTTTCACGTCAAACGTGAAAATCAAGAACACACTGATGCTGCTGCTATCACATAAGACAGCTCAGAAAAGTAACAGATAACAGAACCTCAGATGTGAAACTTGGTAAAATAGTTACTTTATGATATCTCTTGACACATTAATATTAGGATAATTAGTGTTTGCACATTAATTTCCTTTACAACTGACATTATGAATGTATGTCTGTGAATTAAAACACATCAACTTTCTCATCTACATTCATGTCAGTTCAGTAACTGCAGGCAGCTCCAGAGTACGAGTGCAGCTCTGAGTGTTCCAACAGTTCAGTTTACTTTCTTAATGTATGAGCGCTAAAGTTTAAGAAGCAGTGTGGACGTACCTGTGCGCAGACAGCTGTGTGTTCAGGTTCAGTGGTGCTATGAGGGTTTGTTCCTGCTGCACGTTTACTCATTGACAGACTGAACAAACACTCTGCTGTGAGAGCTGCTTAAAGACACACTGCACAAACACTGCACAGGACTCCGGATTCCCCCACAGGAACCGAGACCTGCTTAGCTTAGCTAAGCACAAAGACTGCAAGTGCACATATTCAAAATGTTGCAGTCTTTGCTTAAATCTAAAAATGTGTGATTATTAATGCTAACAAAAATCGGTAATTATTCAGAAATGTGCAGAAAGACTGCAGTTCCTCTAATATCCAACAGAGGCTTCAGCATGATCATAGTTTAATGGGCACTAAACCTACTGTGTGTATATTAATTTTAGGCAGAGTGCTGACAGTACTGGGGATTTATGTCAAAAACATTAGTCCACATTAATAATGAGGCTCTAACACATTTTAGACCCATCAGAAATCACTGTGAGTGACTAAAACTGGAACGTGGCATCACAGACTGTCTTGTTAAAGATTTGCTGTAAAGCAAATCAACCTGTTTGAAACCTCTATTTTCACAGAGCTACAGGCTAGCAGCTCACTTGCTGCCTCTTTTTCTGCTTTAATGTTTTCATATCTCTGCTTTTTTATTTTTAACACCCTCTGCATATTTGCTGTTTCACTGCTGATTTACTGATGAACTTTGACCTGCTCTACGGTACAAGTGTATGTGAACAGGATGTTCCTCACCTGTCCATGTGGTTCCTCACACATCTGTTATAATCACTGTGTTGAACATTTACTCTGTGCTGTCAATAATACAGCCACAAATGCTTTCAGAAGTGGCTTTGTTTCATAATTTTAGTGTTCAAACCGAGAATGATATTCTCTCCTGATAGCTGAACGGGGGGTGTGTTTTACATTTTATGGCGTCTTTCTAACCACAGGCAGCTGCGACTGATAAGCTCCATAAAGCCGAGATCAAACTGAAACTGGAGCACCAAGAGCAGCTCCACCCGAACTGTGCAACTGACACTTTCTGCTTGACTGGCAGAGTGAGGCCCTTTGAGGACTGTGAGAGGCAGATAACAGCAGCCTTGCTGTTAAAGGACACATAAAGTGAATTCACATTATTTTTTCTCTATCGCAGTCTGCATTCAGCTTCCTGTCTGGATGTTGTCATACGTGCATTGTGGTGTTAAAGTCCATAGAAACCCTGTAGTTACTGTAAAATGTCAGCTAAAATTTCATTTTGATATATAAAGGGAGAATCAGCTTTAGTAAAATATGGGGTGTTGGTAGGTTGGTTTTTAATAACAGATATATTAAAAACCAACCTACAAGTTGGTTGTAGGTTGTTCAATGATTGTTCATACAAATCGACAGGCTGTAAATTTTAGAGGTACTACAGAAACCGTCTGTTAGATTTGTATTGTTTATTGTCATTTATGCTTAGAAATTTTTAACTATATATGCTTAGAGGTGCATAATCGATTGTGTAGTGATAGGATGTGTGATCCTTAATAGTCTGCAAAGGCTTTGTGCGCATTCCAGAGTGTTCTGGCATTCACACCCGCATCCTGGGAGCGTGGGAGAGGGCATACCTGCTCTTATTGTTTTATGGAAGGATAAACGTGTCTATATCTGTTTTAGGCTAAGTGCCTTTTGTTTAGATGAACTGTTGGACTTCCAAACCAGCAGGGTTAGGGAAGTCATTTATGGGGTCACACTCTGACCACACACACACACACTTACACAACGCACAGGCAAGGTACTCTTTGTGTGTATGTAGAAGTCATATGTTAATGAACCTATGTATATTCATGTAACCTCAATAAAAGAGCAGTGTTACGGGGGAGCGGATGAGAGCACCTGGGGTCAAGCGAAGGAACAGCGTTTGTCCAGTTCTCTCCCGTGCACGAGAACCATGAAGAACTTTGCCTACTCGTATCTTGCTTTGCTGTGTAATTAAATTGTCCTTAACGTTCCAGCAAATAGGTTTATGCTACAAACCTATCACCGTCCTTTACGCCGACACAAACTGCACGGGTACGCAGGAAAAAAAATCTGCCTGCTAAACTGAAAGTTCTCCAGACCATCAACCACTAAAAACATGTGGCTCAAGTCCTAAAACAAGCAAGAATGAAAATCCTTTGGCAAAAACTACAACAAAACTACAGAAATGTAAACCCTTGGTTCCCAAATGCTTACAGACTGTTGTTAAAGGAAGAACAGTCAACGGTTATCTTAGTATTTTATTATCTTATTATTTTAATCTATTGTATATAGTATCTTATTCTTATTCTATTCCAGTGTTTCTAATTTTTGCTATATAACTTTGCACTGTCTACTTTGGAGGGCGATCGTGGCTCAAGATTTGGGAGTTCGTCTTGTAATCAGAAGGTTGCCGGTTCGAGCCCCGGCTCAGTCTCGGTCATTGTGTCCTTGGGCAAGACACTTCACCTACCGCCTACTGGTGATGGCCTCGCCTCTGTCAGTCTGCCCCAGGGCAGCTGTGGCTACTACTGTAGCTGCCTCCGCCAGTGTGTGAATGAATAGTGGACTTGTAAAGCGCTTTGAGGGGTCCCGAAAAGCGCTACATAAATGCAATCCATTATTATTATTACTTTCTGCTGTAACAAAACAAATTTCCCACGTGTGGGACTAATAAAGGTTATCTTATCTTATTAAATACAGGTTTTAGATTTATTTTCAATCAAGGCCCCAACCTGGAGCTCAGTGAGGCAACAGTGTTCAGCTAACAGATAAACGTACAAACTATAGACAATATTGCTTTATTGCAAACAGAAATTAAAAACTGGTCCCATAATGTTAAATGGTCACTTGATTTTAGTCGTTGTTTAGTAAAATGTAAAAAAGAGAAACCAGAAGAACCAGAAGTTCGGTGCAGGAATATGATGGTCTGCATCACTATCATCTGATGCTAACAAACAACCCAAACCAACAAAAGTAAAGAAATGCTTCCACTGCAGAGTCAGTCCCTCAGAAGAAGAAGAGACTTCCTGTACACAAACTTTTTCCTCTTCTATCGTTGCTCTTTCATCAGCTGTGCATGAGCCTGCCTCCTCATGGCGAGGGCTGTCAAGGCGCAACACAACGTCAGGCAGGGAAAGGAGGCGCAAGCCAGCAGGAGGCGCTCCTCTCCAAACTCTCTGACCATCGCCGGCCGCCGCCATAGGAAGTCGTGGAACAGCGCTTCCTGCTGGGCCAGTGTGCAGAGTGACAGCAAGATGTGGAAGAGCTGGTGTCCGTGGCCGACGATGTCAAAGCGGCCGGGGGAGAAGCGCTCAGGAACGGGGCAAGAGAAGAAGAAGGCGGATAGCATAAACAGCACCACCTGGTGGAAAAATGACAGAAAGCTTTTTGACAGTAGCAGAAAAATATACAAATAAGAACAATTTGTGCAATATTTTTACCCAAAATTACTAACCAGTAATAAATATAACTGTTAGGTCTAATAAATCCATGACTAAAGAAACAAGTAAAAGGCACTACCTGCAAGAAGTGCAATGGTAGTGCAGGGCTGCCTGTCCAGCTGTGGGTGGCAAGACGGTGGGCAACAGGGCTGATGACCACTAGGTAGGCCACACCCATTGGGATCAGCTGGCAGAGCTTCCTGTGAAGGGGGTATGGACGGCGGAAACGAAGTTTTGCATAGCAGCAGGCGGTGCACGAGAGCCACGCAAGGAGGGCAGCTGCTGGGAGGAAGACCTGAAATCCAAAAACCTGATCAGGACATCTGAACATACCGATGGGACGGAAGACTCAAACACAAACCTTTCTAACCATGTTTTCCCTTCCATCTGATCATCCAGTTATCATTGCAATAAGAAATCCAACTGTCCACAAAGTAATCATCAAACCATTAAATAAGCCAACTACAAAGCATCCAAATTGTCCATCCGTGAACAAACCTGTCCAGCCTGCACTGGGTTCATCAGTCCAACATTCACACTATTCAGTCATCTAATCACCCCACTTTCCAATATCCAACAGTCACAGTATTCAGCTGTCCAACATCCAATCATTAAACTGTCCAACCACCCAGATCTCCAACCATACAGCTATACCCGTCCAACAATCCAATATCCAATTATCAAATTGTTTACCAATATCATTTACAAACCATCCAGTCATCCAACACCCAGTCACTAAACTGTCCACTCATCACACTATTTAACAGTCCATGAGTCAAACTATTCAACCTCCTAGCTCCAGTTGGGAGGTATATCCAGTTGCATCACTGGATATACAGCCATAACAATATCCAGTGATTCAATAATGCAACATCCAACAATCAAATGAACCAAATTCCCAACCATTAAACCGTCCAGGACTCCATTTATTAAAGTATCCAACCATCCAGGCATCCAACATCCAATCACTGAACTGTGCAACTTTCACACTATTAAAATTCTAACTACCAAACTATCCAACCACCAAGTTCTCCAACCATAAAAACATACCAGTATTCAACATCCAACTACCTAGTATCGACTCGTCTAACTGTTTGACCATCACACCATCTTGCAGTCCATGTATCCAACTAGCCAGTCAGCCTGCTCCCTAAAAATACAACCATATCAATATCTAAACATCCAGCCTTCAGACCATTAAGGTATTACTACAATCCATCTATCCAAAATGCAACAATCCAACTGTCCAACAATCACAATATCCAAACATCCAATGGTTATACTATCAAACCATCCAACTATCCATATACAATACAGTCATCTAACTGTCAGGGGGTGAAAGGCTGATATGTGGAAGTGGACATGAAAGCAGACTCAAGGGACAATAGACTAGCAGTTACTAGCAGACGGGCACAGTGGACTGGAGCAAACTGAAGGCACCGCAAGATCAGCCTCCATCTGTAGAAAAAGAGGGGGTTGGTACCCTAGAGAGGCTTCAAAAGGCAAGAGACCTATAGCAGAAGAGAGAAGTGAGTTATAAGTATATTCAGTCCATGAAAGTTGTGAGGACCAGGTAGAAGGGTTGTGGGTGTAACACAGTGAAGGGCAATTTCCAGTTGGCTCCGAAAGTTGTGCAAAAATCTTCCAATTGTCTTGTTATCGGTTGAAGAAAGTGACAAGTAAAGAAAGCTGCAGCGGAGTTTAGTTCCAGGAACGGCAAAAACAAACTGGACACACAAGGAAACAGCAGTTAGAATTCAACGAGGCAAATAACAAGAGATGGAAGAGCCAAGTTACAGCCGTAGCTGACGGACTGGCAATGAGACAAAGGGTGAGCTGGTCTTAAATGCCAGCCTGCTGATTGCCACTGATGGATCACTGCTGGATGATGCATGTGGAAATGAGCCTCTGCCCTCATGGGCAGATACTGGAGAACCAGAGCCAGCATGGAGAAACACATCAAAACAACAGACACTCACGTAACCACCCAGCCATCACAGAATCTAGCCATCTATCATTCTGTGAAAATACCCAAACATAACACTGTCAGACTATCCAACATGTAACATCCAACTGTCCAACCTCCTGCCTCCATCCAGTCAGTCAGCCAAGACTAAATTTCCACTACCTTACCAGAAAACTACCAGGCCGTCCAAAAAATCAACCAACATTGCAGACGTCCAACAATCAGCCATCAAATATTACCATAGTTCAAGATCTGTGAACAAACCTGTCCCAGCATGCTTTGTCTCCAGGCAGTGTTGGAGCTGTACAGGCAGAGAGCCAGAGCACAGCCATACTGATAGACGGCCACACCCACATAGTCCAGGAAGAATAGTGAGTAATGCGCCTGCTCTGAGTGGGACTGCAGCAGGTGAGCGGCAGCACTGCAGGAGGTAACACGATGTTAGTTAAAGCTGCAATATTTAAAATGTTTACATTAAACTTCAAACATCATTCCCAAATCAAATATATAGGAAGACTTTGTTATCGTTGGTGACTAAAGAATGAATCACTCACCTGCAGCTGAGGTATGTGACTGCAGAAAGAACATAGAGGACCAGAGGTAGAGAGGAGGCATCCACAGAAAAACCTTCACCTTCAGGACCCTGCAGTCGGAAACCCAGGATTCCCTTAATAGGTCAAAGGTCAGACAACAGGAAGTCAAACAGAATGTCATCATGCAGCAGAAGATCAGAGCATCTGTAAATATCCTACCCCTCCTCGCATGATGGCGAACACCATGAACCTGAGCACCACGAAGGCGGCAGCCAGCAGGTGGCTCCACACATTCAGCGTCTCATTGTGGATCTGGAACAGGCTGAGGGCGTAACACCGCCACGACATGCCCGTGGGACGGTACCCCGTCAGGATGAAGCGCTCCCGAAACAGAGGGGGAACATCCACGTCTCGGACGGTAGGGGGGTTGGATGGGAGGAGACGGTGCAGCAGAGGGAGGAAGTTAAGACAGAGCGAGGGATGGGCAAACGACACCTGAGGCATGATGGGAGATGACCCAGCTGGATGAGGAGGAAATGATAGGAAGATTCTGTTCTGTTTGATTACCCCTACGTGAAAATGAAAATCACACTTCAGTAAATTAAATTATAAATTTATTTGGAAGCCAAAAAGCTGAGAGTATTAGCTGTAAAGCTTATATCCTTGTTATGCTTTTATCTGTTGGGAATTCCAGATTATAAAATGTAAAATCAAAGTTTAATGCTGGGAAATGACTGTAATTCAACCGAGATATTTGTTATTAAAATGTCAAATATTTGTACTTTATCAAACAAATTTCTACCATGAATATACCAGTAAAACGCTCTGAAGTAATTTATTTTAAAACTCTAATTTTCTAAATAAATACATTTCTAAAGGTGATGTTAACATGAAATTCACACCAGATGTAGGTAACAACCCATCCAATGCACACATACAAATAAATCAAACCACAGATGTCCATAAACTAATTTATGTGTAATAATGCAAAATGGCACAGGGAAATGGTCTGTATTTGTATAGCGCTTTACTAGTCCCTAAGGACCCCAAAGCGCTTTACATATCCAGTCATCCACCCATTGGTGATGGCAGCTACATTGTAGCCAAGGCCGCCCTGGGGCGCACTGACAGAGGCGAGGCTGCCGGGCACTGGCACCACCAGTAGGCAACGGGTGAAGTGCCCAAGGACACAACGACCGAGACTGTCCAAGCCGGGGCTCGAACCGGCAACCTTCCGATTACAAGGCGAACTCCCAACTCTTGAGCCACGATCGCCCAGGGAAAAAATATTGAACACATGAAGAAAGGGAGGTTCAAAAAGGCATGGAAATGGCATCAGCTTCAGAAAATCAGTAATTACTGCAAATTAATATCAGCTGGTTCAGTCCCAACTGATGGCCTATAAAAATGGTGTCTCATCACCTAGGTGTCACACAAGTAAACATCTTGTGATGGATAAAACCAGTGAGCTCTCTCAGCACTTTCACAACCGTATTTTTGTAAAACATACTGATGGCATTGGATACTTGGCACTTGTGGAGAGCTACAGAAAGACCTGGAATCAACAAGTTCAGTTGTTTCAAAGAAAACAAGTTATGCACTTAACTACCATGGCCTGTATGGACGTTCACCATGCAAGAGTCCATTGCTAAAGAAAAAGCGTGTTGAAGAGCGTTTAATGGTTGCTGAACAACATTTAGACAAGCCTGTGAAACAGAGGGAGAATATAGTCTGATTAGATGAGACCGAAATGGAACTCTTTGGATGCCAAAATACATGAAAACACCATGTTTGGAGAACAATAAGCACAGCATATCACCCCAAAAACACCAACAGTCAAGTCTGGAAGTGGAAACATTGTGGCACAGGGCTGTTTTTCAGCATAATATATTTTTTGGAGCACAAAGCACATTAATCCAAACAAAACTAAGTCAAACTTTACTCAACTCATTCTTCTTGCTTCCTCCACTTCCGTAACATTGATTCATTAATGTTGAATTCTCTCACAGCTGCTCTATTCCCATATTGTTGCAGTATATTAATGACTAACCTCGTATTGTGGATGGATTATCTCAGTTGTTCTCCTGACTGAAGTTTGGCATTTGTCCCTAACCATCGGGAACCCTCACGTTAATTTTTATCAGGTGGAAAAGTGTTAGCGTTCATCCTCCAGCTTCACTGTTTATGTTATGCTAACATAGCTGTGTCGCTAGCGATCAGGTAGCACATCATTATATACCAGCTAGCCCAACTTCAGTAACCCTACAAACGTCACTACTGTTTAGTTTTCTGTCTTCATTTATGTTGGAAGTGATAGCAGAGCTGTACGTTTGAATTGTTTCAGAAATCTCTCAGTCAGAACATGCTACATCAAGTTTAGGTGGAAGCTAGCGAGCTAACTTCCTGCTAACTCCTAACTAACTCCGTTACATTTAATAAATCCTGTTTTCATGGATGCCTGGATGTTAAACTTAATTGTTACACCTGGTAAAGCAGCAACGCTGATCATTTTATTAAAGAAGAAAGAATTTAGACCGTTTTTAACTCTCAGTGTTCGTTTGACTTTGGTACCTGAAGAGGATGGAGTTTTGGACCCCGATTACTCCGCGAGGCTCCTGACTACGATACCGTAATGCTCCAACAATCCATCAAGCTTTGCAGCTTCGTAGCTTACCAAAGTCGCACTAAATCATTTTTTGACAGATTCTTGAGCGCCGTGTAGCACATAAAATCAGTTTGAGGTCAATAAGCACAACCAGTTCATACATAAGGTGCACCGGATTATAAGGTGCACTGTTGATTTTTGAGAAAATTGAAGGATTTTAAGTGCGCCTTATAGTGCAGTAAATACGGTACTTCATATAAATGAAGGAAGGATGAATGGAAAGATGTACAGAGACATTCAGGATAAAAATCTGCTGCCATCTGCCAGGATGATGAAGATGAAACGAGGGTGGACGTTTCAGCAGGACGATGATCCCACAGCCAAGGATTCTCTCAGCTGCTTTCAGAGAAAGAAAATAAACCTGCTAGAATGAACCAGCCAATCAGCTGACCTGAATCCAAATGAAAACCTATGGAGCGATCTAAAGTTCATAGCGGGGTCGACAGAACCTTCAGGATTTGAAGACTGTTTGTGTGGAACAATGGACCAAAATCACACCTGAGCAATGCGTGAGACTAGTTTCTCTGTGCAGGAGTTGTTTTGAAGCTGTCATCACCAATACAGGCTTTTGCACGAAGTATTAAATACATTTCAGTAAACGTGTTCAATACTTTTTCCCTATGTTTTTCTAATTAATACACCATTAGAAAGTTTGAATTCTTTGCATCTGTGTACTGCATTGTTTCACATCAATAGCAGCTTAAAAATTTATTTACTTTGAGAATTGGTGAGGTATTCAGTACTTATTTTACCCCGCTGTGCATGAGAGGGAAATAAATGTACAGATAGGTGGCAAATAGATTGAGTTAAAAGCAGTCCAACAGCTTTGATTGGAGCTTGTTCAGCTTCAACAAACTTTAGCTTAAAGATGCTTCAAATGCCTTTTTTCTTTGGAAACACTTAAGCTTCAATCATCTCTGTACAAAGGTCAGAGGTCACAGAATCTGAAGGACAAGAAGGAAATCAAACCTACCTGAGCGTCTCCTGGATGTGAGCTGCTCGCTGCTACGCTGCACAACTTATTTTCTACTCACTTCTATTGTTTTCTGTTCGGGTCGTTGGGCCTGCTGTCAGAGTGTTCAAATCACACACACACACACACACACACACACACACACACACACACACACACACACACACACTCCACAATGTGTTCTTGTTTTCAGCTAATTAGAGCTGATTTCAGTCTGAACAAGTTTTTCTCTGCAGAGGATTTCAGACATCATGAGACTCAGCAGTAATGCACACTTCGCTGCAGCGTGCATGCCAATACACCACCAAATCCTCTACACAGTAACGTCACATTTATTCTCTAAATACGTCAGATTAATAAAAGGAAAGATTAGGAACTTTTCTAATTCGTCCAGTGCACATGATGGTAAATTTGGAGACTAATTCAACAAAAAATAAATAAAGAGACAAAACAAAGCAAAATTGTAAACTTCAAGTTTTGTTTTTCTCTTGTTATTTTAGTTATATTTCGAAATTCTAAATGAAAACTATTCTATTCTATTTTATTCTCTTCTAAAATAATAAAAATGTAAGATGATAAAATATTTAAGAATGTTGGCCAAAACAAAACTGTAAAAGGTAACAAGCTTTGTAGAAGAATTATGTTTTAAAAAGAGGAGAAAAGCAGTTCTGCTACGCCCACTGGTGGATGGTGAGAGAACTGCAAGTCCACAACTACATGTTTAATTTGTTTCGTGTTTGATTTGTTTGGTTATATTCACACGCCATCATTCAGAGATCAAGACTGTTCCTGTAATGTTACTGTCAAACGAAGTCAGTCTTTCATTGTACAAAATACATTAAAATGTTATTTTGTGCTTGAACAAAAACGAGTAATCATCCAAACCCAGACTTGAAAACAGCATTTCACACAATCAAACACCGAGTTTTATCTGAACTGAAGCTGTTCTGTGGATTTCTCTATCACAGAGAAAGCAATGTGCATATATTCACTCTGCAGGGATTCCACAAGGCTCTTTGCTCGGACTACTTTTCTTTGCACTTCAAATTAACATGTATCTAAATATTAATATTCCAATGTACGCAGATGATGCAGTAGTCTTCACACAATGACACGGTCAAAATCACACATTCTTATGTCTTACAGAGGCACTGACTCAGGTTCAAGAGTGACTTCAAAATCATTAATTTGACTAATTATTGAACAGTGTGTTGTAACGCACGATCTGATATCCTCGTGTTGGTGTTGTTCCCAGATCATCATACTAAATGTTGTTCCTGGATCAACATTGCAAGTGACCAATCAGAATGTTGTGATGTCATACTTTTGCGACTTCAGGAAAAAAACGCCGTAAAACAAAAAACTGTACTTAAGCTGCGAGAAACCGCCTCTGTCCGCCAATCAACGGACCCTGACCCTAACCCTAACCGTAACCGTAACCCTTTAATAAACGGTAAGCAGAATTAATATTGTCCTTGCAACATTGGAATTTCATAAATGCACGTATGGCTTGGCGCGCAAAAGAATAACGTCACAACAATGTGATTGGTCACATGCAATGTTGAACCTGGAACAACATTTTCATGATGATCTGGGAACAACACCAACACGACGATATCAGATCATCCGTGTTGTAACAGTCACAATGGTGTGGTGTCTCTTTAAGACAACCCAAGTCGAGGGTTAATGTTGTCATCCGTACGCGCCACTACTCTGTTTGTTAAGCTGCAGCCGTTCAACCAGGCTTATATGGTTGACGAAGGGAACGTGTATTAAAGAACACGCTGTGGAATTCCCAAAGCCAGCGTGAGTGTGTATTCTTTCGACAGTGTGATGTTATGAAACAACTAATGACACTGTAAACAAGTTCAGTTAACTTTGACTCACTTTGGGCTCGGGTGTAACAGTATGACTGAAAATTTCAACAACAATTTAAAATTTAATTTACACAAATCCAAGCACATCAGGCCATTTCCGGGAAAAAAATCGATAAAGGCAATCTCTTAAGCTTCGATCATTTAAAAAACATGGCAGTTTTATGTATAAAGTTTTATATAGACTTTCCCCAATACTTTCAGTTGATTTATTAGGGGGAATGGTGTTAGAGCTGCTGCTAGAGTAGACAGCGAGGAGCCTGATAGGCGAACCAAATGTGAGTAAAATGTGAGGTCAGTAAAGGGGAGTAACTATTTTGGCACTTCTCAGATCGACGCTGCACATACAATGAAAGCTGATCTCAAACAAACCAGACTTGTCATCATTTTTTACTCCTCGTAGTTTTTATTTGTTTGTGTGTTTTTTATGTTACCTGCACAGAGATTATAGATAAAAATGAAGAGCTGATTCAAATCTGGCACATCTGATGTTAACACGCACTGTGCAGTTTTTAAATAAATACAACAGCAAGAATGAAATGACCAGGTTTCAATTAACTTATTTTTTAGCTCCTTTTATTTCGAAACATTTCTGTTTCCTGGGCTTCACTTCTGATCGGTCTCGGCTCGAACACAGGTGCAGCCGACCGCCACAGAGCGGAACGATGCTTTGTAGCAGCGCCGGCCATTGTGTGAGGTCAGGACCAGAATGTCCTGGTAGACGGGGACTGAGTTCAGGTTGTGTTGGTCCTTCTGTCCTGGGATGGGACTGGAACAAAAGCTGGTACTGCACTCGGCCTCCCAGAGCGTCCTGGGGATTCGGTTTCTGTCCGTGTTTGGCCTGAGTCAACAAACACAGCAACAAGTGAAATTAGACATTTATCAGAGTTGCTTCTGTTTTTACTCATTCAGTCATTTATTCACAAATTCATTCATGAGTTTACTCACGTCCAGTTCCACGGAGACAGAGATCTGCTGTGGATGTCCCCGTTTCCTTCAGTCAAGCTGGTGATCTCAGAGGAGAACGTCAGCATGGTGTCACATTCAGCTGCAGATTCAGTTTCAACCTCGGAGTGAGCGACCCACAATGCACTGCAACATACCTGAATATACAAGATTACCAACAAGTTACAATCTTGGGTTTTACTAAATGCAACTATTTCAACCATTTTTACATTTTTCTGCATACATATGTGTATTCCAGAGCTTTCTGAGCATCCTCAGCCTGTTTGAAACATCGTTCAGTGGTTTCAACTTTTAATCTAGTATGAAGAGTACGAACCTCTTAGAAACTCTTAGTGAAGCTCATCTGTGCAAGTTTCTCAGTAGGTTTTTAGTCTGTACTAGAAGCTTAAAATACTAAAACTAGAATTATTTGTTTCACAGTTTTAAACTCTGCCTTTTAAAGACTGTTAGAGCGTTTATTCCTCAAAGTCCATTCGTGTGAAAAAGACAGTCCTCTCTCACTGCTTCCACGTGAAGCGGAGGGTAAGTATCAGCCAATCAAATGCCCTTCATTAACCGATTAATGACCCGAGGGACCACTTCTATATACAGGTGTATATGTTAACCTGTTAGCAGTCGGACGTACCGCCCACGGTACATTGGATGGTTTAGGGGACTAATTGTAAATTTGTAGGACTGCTAAGGGGTTAACACACTCAATGCCACAATCTCCCCAGGAGCAGACATACCAGCAAATTCACCCTGAGCTCAAACCCAAGAGCTCCATGAAGATGCATGGCTGAAAAAGAAAAGAATCAAGCTGCTGCAGTGGTGCAGAGTCCAGAGAGCTGTGCATGAACGAATGGTGCAAACCTCGATGAACTGAAGCAACGCTGTTACCGAGAGTGGACCAAAACTGCTCGGCAGTGATGAGACAGACCGATAGACTCACACAGAGAACAAAGTTCAAATCCAGAGTGAAAATGTGAGAACAACAATTATAGATGTAATATCAACACAAACAAGCTCTTTTTAATTAAGTCTATCCGGATTTAATCCATGGTGTTGCCCAGAGGAGCGTCACCCTGAAGCTGGATGGAAATGCTCGGTTGGACTGTTGTAAAGGAGATTCTGTGGATTCTTCAGAAAAAGCTGGAAATCAAATCCCAAACCTGACATGCTTCGAGCCTCCATCAGCATCTGTTAACCTGAGTGCGCTGCTGAGAGTCTATAAAAATATCTAAAGACACCCCGGACTTCATCCCTTAAAGGTTATTTTATTATACTTTTTAGTGAGATGATGACAATTTAAGCAACGACAAACTTCATCACTCTAAACGCTGTTTTAACAGGGTTTAAATTTCAAATCTACAGGGTCGAATAAGAACCATGATAAGCACAAAAAAAGACATGATAGTCCATTAAACAGCAGCAGCCGACACAAAACTCAGTTTTAAATATAAATAAACACAGAGTGTCTGCAGGAGGACGATTTCACGGAGTTTTAGGACGGGATGAACTATTACGCGTCATGACTGTGTAACTATTAGGTAAAAATACCAAAAACTGTTATAGTTGATTAAATATTATGTTAGCCACACACATTATAATTATTATAAACCCGGTGAGCCATACAGGAGATTATCTGGAAACTTTATTAAAAGCGTTTTCTGACCAGTTTAAATTTACTCACCTGCCTAAAGACCCGCGCTGGGTCCAGTTCTGGAAAGCTTGACACCTGCGCTGCACACCTGACTCTTCTAGGCCAGCTAACGACATCTCTAAAAGACTGCTTGGAACTAGTTTCTGTTTGCGACACTTTTCATGTCCATCCATTAAATGAACCCAGTAAAACCTTTCAGCCGCTGCTGGTTCTTCCAGTCTGATCAATTTCACAGTCAAACTGCTAAATTTGCTTTGCGCTGGAACTTCTCACCAGTCATCCCCAATCTAACCTTTGCGACTATCAGCCGTGAGTAATTTCTTGCTTGTAATTTCCAGCAGACTAATATAATCTGGCTTTTCATCTTTCAGTCGCAGTAAACAGATGATCAGAGTGAATAAAGCCGACGCTCACCAGCAGAGTGTAGACGCCGTGCCTCAGCAGCTTCATGATGTTGCTCTGGTCCCGTCCAGCGTCTGTGTGCGACTGCTCTCAGATCAGCACAATTTATGCTGATCAGATGTGATCACGCCTGATCTCTGAGATGATAACAGCTCAAGAAACAAAACGGGAGATTCCTGTTATCTCTGCAGACCATCTGAATCACACGATGAAAGCCTGACAGGCGGTCTGTCAGATGAAAAGAACACGTTTGCTGCACTGATAACATCTGTGACAGAAAAACAGGAAAAACGTGTAAAACAGCAGAAGCTGAATTTTATTTTCAGTGTGGTCGCATTAATTTAAAGAACAGAATTTGTTTTAATGACAACAGATTCTACTTTTTTTTATTTTCTGTAATATAGTGTCCACGGTTTGCATTAAATGTGTTAATAAGTGTACGCTCAGCTTCTCTCTGATGATCTGAGATCATCACTGATTTCTTTATTTGGTCATTTCCTTCAGGCACAGCAAACTCTGGTCTTCCTGCTAAGAATGTAGGTGTTCTCCATGCCGCCTACCTGAGCAGAAACTACATATGTTCAATTTTAAGAAGCATTCGCGATCAGAGACTTCCTGAAGTAACAGCTCCATCCATTTTCCTCACCTACGATCATGGTGGTGGGGAAAGTTCTCCCAGCTGACAGAGGACAAAAGATCTCAAACACCTGGAGACAGACGCGCCTACAGCCAGTTTACGATCGTTAGTGAGCATGTCTTTGGAGCGCGAGGTGAAACCTGCAGAGCTGCAAGCAGACGGTTCAGAGCTTCCAACCCTGACCAACACGCCGCTCTGCTCCAGCACACTTATCTTTATCCTGATCGATCGAAATTGATCAAAAAAAATTAATCTGATTGTGTTCATGCACTGCTTTTGCAACTGATGTATCTCAACAGGAAGCAGGTTTCATATCTGCAACATTTATCTAACCTAAATCTAACCAAGTTTATTCTATTTGATAAGGTCCCTCCAGCTTCCAGAAGTGTTTCTGGTCCTTGTTAAATAATGAAATCATCACATGTGAGAACGGAGAGATGACAAATGGTGTTCAGGAAGGTTAGAAAACTGGAAAAGTTGTGTCCGTGGACATAAAACTTGTGCGAGGCTGCGATGTGCTTTCTGAACTTCTGATTTGTAATAAAAAATAAGAAGCAATGTCGTTCAGAAGCTGCTTTTCCACATTCGCACTGCTTCTCATCGTGCTTCCAGAGGTTGGCCGACAAAGAAAGTTTGGAAGAAGGTTTGCTTTACAGATACGTAGAAGACTTGGTTGGCTTTGTGTCGAGGTCTGCAGTCCTGTGGTGTCATTCAGGAGTCCTTTGTTCTTTATCTCCTGCTGACTCTTTCCTCTGAAATAAAAGGCATAAAATCCCCCCAAAAGTGTCTTCAAAGTGCACGCTGCCCTGAATTTTACGATGTTGTTTCGTTAGTAGTTTCTTATCTATTCGATCCATCATCTACCGTGAGAATTCAGCTCCCCGCGTGGGATCATTCCAGTTTATCTCGTCTTTATCTGCATCTTTTACTGTCAGCACATCAGCAAAACATCTGATCTAAATATCTGTTTCCTCTTTGATAATCACCGTATCTGTTTATTCTGTAAAGCTAAAGTTGGGTTTTTAATCATCGCGGTGGGAAAAAAGGCTCTGATTATTTCAGTATATAAGATAAGATACAGTAAGGTCCATAAGCATTTGGACAGAGACTTTTTTCTAATTTTGGTTCTGTGCAGTACCCCAGTGGAACAACTCAGATGTAGCTGAAATGCAGACTCTTAGCTTTAATTTGGTGGGTTGAAATAAAAAATGTGAGGGAGCTAAAGTAAATCACTTCATTTCAGGGCCCAAAAGCAATTGGACAAATTAAATAACTGAAAATGAAACGTTCATTTCTAATACTTGGTTGCAAACTCTTTGCTGGTAATGACAACCTGAAGTCTTAAACTCGTGGACATCGCCACATGCTGGTTTCCTGCTTTTTAACGCTCTGCCAGGCCTTTACTGCAACCGTCTGTTTGTGGGCCTTTCTGTCTGAAGCTCAGTCTTCAACAAGTGAAATGCGTGTTCAGATCAAGATCAGGTAACTGACTTGGCCATTTGTGAATATTCCACTTCTTTGCTTTAATAAACTCCTGGGTTGCTTTGGCTGTATGTTCTGCGTCATTGTTCATCAGTTTTATGAAACTGCCCAATTTGACTGTATTTGCCAGTTTGTCTCTGAACACCTCAGACTTCATTCTGTCCTGTGTCACATTATCATAAACACTAGTGTCCCAGTGTCACTGGCAGCTTTGCACACCCAAGCCATCACACTGCCTGTGCCGTGTTTTACAGATGATGTGATGTGCTTTGGGTCATGAGCTGCCTTCTGTAGCATGGAAATGATTCTGCGATCATCCACCACTGTTGTCTTCTGTGGTCATCCAGGTCTTTTGAGGTCACCAGTACTTTCTTTCTTTCTCAGGATGTACCAAACTGTAGGTTTTGCCACTCCTAATATTGTGGCCATTTCTCAGATGTTTTTGTCTGTTTTTGCAGGTTGGCTTGTTTCACCTGCATGGAGAGCTCCTCTGACCACATGTCATCTGTTCATACAAAATCTCCCAGATGCAACCACACCTCAAATCAACTCCAGGCCTTTGATAATGACATAACAAAGGAATTGCCCATGAAACACCCTTTGAGTTAATCGTCCAATTACTTTTGGTCCCTATAGAAAGAGTGTGGCACATGTTAACGACCTGAAACTCTTCATCCAATTTGAATGTGGATACGCTCATATGAAAGCTGAGAGTCTACACATTATGTCCAGACTTCATTTTTCAATTTGTGAAATGTGAAATTGTCCTTCATAATTAATTAATTAAAATTCTGTACATTGGTCAAGATAAAGAGAAAAACTTAACGATTAAAATTGGAGGATTTAAAAAAAATATTTTATATCTTTTGTAAACCCTGATGTTCATAAAAAATACACACCTTCATGTTTTTAAT